TTTTYGTCGCTTTTGCGACCTWCTTCCACTACAAGCAAACAGTGCGTCATTAATTGAGGAAAACTAAAAGTCCTGATACATGCAATACGGTTTTTCTTGACGTTTTTGGAAACATATATTTTTGATTGAGAATCGCAACATGTTCAGTGTCGATCCAAGGCGCCAATGAATTTTAGCGATCATCTTTGATCAGAGCTAGTTTTAGTYCTATAAAGGCGACGATGATCGATGATGGTTCAAGTCGGTCGATTCGATCTAACAGCAGTGCATCACTTAAGATTTTGGAAAGTTTCCACTTAAACAGTCCGTGAGACTGAAGAGAAGTTTTCATTATCGCCTAATTTGAGTATGGCAACACCGCTTAATGCTTACTTCATGCTTTTTATGAAAGWTCTACCAAGTCAGTTTTTATCATATTTTGATGAACAGTCACTATACGGCTAGATCTATTCAGAATTTTTCTTGCTATTGACCGACAACATACCGATCGTCTCACTTGCGCATTAAATTATTTTGAATACTAGCTTTTCCCTCCACTTAAAAAGTCTATCAAATTCAACGTTTAATATTTGTGTTTTGATCGATGTATATTTCACATAGCCATCAACACAATTTAGGAAAGTAAAGTTTCAGTCTCTTACCTTCGGTAATCTGTTGTCGGCAAATGGAAAGTGTGGTGCAATAATGGTGGAAGATGGTGCAACTCGAGACTGAGAACACGTGATTGCGCGGCCGTGACGTCAGCACTTTATGAATATTGAGTACTCAAAGTGTAATGTGCTTCACTTGCGCATTAGTATTTTGAAAGTTTTTCCCACCTAATGAAAGTCGATCCAATTTAACGTTTTTAACGTTTACGATAAAGCCCATTAAATTATATCTCCACCTAGCCGGTCAATAGAAGAAATAGTTTTCTCTTACCTGTAAAAAATTGCAGTTAYTTGGTAAAATAAAAGAAAAATATTCAGAAAATTATTCAACTTYGCTGTCGGCTGGACGTTCACAGTTTGTCAACATTTTTAATATGCTCCGAGCAAAATCGAAAGATTTTATATCATATGATCTATTTCAAAAAAGTTTTTGTCGGATAAAAGTCCATGGGTTTTGCTATTTGATGGGAACAGAAGTACATAACTTATGTACTTCTGTATCTGTATAATAATTTTAATTYAGAAAGACGTATTTTATTCAGGGAAAGATAAAACAACTGCTTTGTGACAGTATTGTTAAACATAACTGACGAGCTTACGAGCGAACACTTTCTATCCTTAACCTCRGACATTCCTGTTCTTGCTCTCACAGATCTCAATTCTACACCTTATWTTCAGACTATTCGCGGAAAGACAAAACAACCTGTCGGTGACAGTCTATCTTGCGTTGATGTTAAACATAATTTACGATAGTTCGTATTGAACTCTTGAAACGAAAACGAGGCATTTTCTATACTTCATCGTCCAGTTTTCATCAGTTCTTGGCCTCATGGTATTTATTTAAAAACACCAGATCTCAGTTCTACGCCTTATGGCTGGCATTAAAGTATGCTTGAAAACGTTTCCCATTCCATTCGAAAGTCTTGCCGCGGTTCACGATTGTTATTCGACTAAAATGCCAACTAATACTGCGAGCGGTTGTCTGC